GCCCCTGGGCGGCCCGGCGCCGAAGGGCGGCGAGCCCCTCGAGCTGGCCGAGGGCGCGAAGAAGGACACGCAGGCCCACTCCTTCTGGTCGGCGCTTCCGACCTCGGGGGCGAAGAGCTCCAGCCGAAGCCCGTTTCGCGCAGCGTTCGCCTGCGCGAGCACCAGCGCGGCGAGGTCGCAGTCGACGCCCGCGGCCTCCCGCGCCCCCAGGCGGAGCGCCGAGAGCCCCAGCACGCCCGTGCCGCAGCCGAAGTCGAGCACGGAGGCACCGGCGAGGTCCTGCGCCTGCAGCCACCGCAGGCACAGCCGCGTCGTGGGGTGGTCGCCGAAGCCGAAGCTCGAGCCGAGCTCGAGCGTCAGCAGCAGGGGCGGCGGGATCCTCGAGCCCAGCAGCTCTTGCACGTCCGCCGCCGCATGCCGCGTGTGGGCGATGAGGAGGCGGCCGATGAGCTGAGGGTAGGGCTCGAGGGCCACGGCGGCGGCCCAGCTGGCGTCCTCCAGGGGCACGTCCATGATGGACATTGCGTAGCTCGAGCCCAGCAGCCGCCGGCCCGCCTCGTCGACCGCCCGCCTCAGGCCTGGCCCCCTCCACACGAGGTCCAGCGCCGCGCCCTTCCAGAACAGCTGCGCGGGGTCGCCGCCCCCGCGGGGCGCGCAGTCCAACAGCCGACGGGCCTCCGCTGCCGTGGGGGGCTCGGCCACGTCCGGGTCTCCGAGGCTCTCTGACAGCTCCTGGTACGAGCCCATCCACCTGAGGTCCGTGCTCAGGGCCCCCAGCTCCAGCAGCGCGTCCTCCAGCACCTCCGGCCGCAGCCGCCCGCGCGCCGCGGCGGCCACCGCGTCGCGGCCAGTCAACACTACAAGGCTGCGGTGGATGGCCTCCTGCGCCGCCGCCGCCTGACGCACGCACCGCCGCCGCCCGCCGCGCCAAGCCGCGCCTCTGCAGCGCGCGCCCGCTCTGGCCGCGCAGAGTGCCGCGGCGGCGGCGCGCGCCCCGCTAGCGCAGACAGTCGGCCGCGGCGGCGGGCTGCGGCAGCGGCCGCGCGCGGGACCGCGCGGCGGCGCCGCGGCGGGCGGTGGGCGGCGGCAGGCCGCTGGCGCCAGCATGGCACTGGAGGCGGCTGTGCGGCGAGGGCTCACGGAGAGCCTGGCTGACCTTGAACCAAAATTGCTACGGACGCGCTAACCTCCCGCGGAGGAGGAGGAAGAGGAGGAGGAGGAGGAGGGAGGAGGAGGAGGAGGGAAGGAGAAGGAGGAAGAGGAGAGAGGAGAAGGAGGAGGAGGAGGAGGAGGAGGAGGAGGGAAGGAGGAGGAGGAGGAGGGAGGAGGGAGGAGGGAGGAGGGGGGAGGGAGGAGGAGGGAGGAGGAGGGAGGAGGAGGGAGGAGGGAGGAGGAGGGAGGGGGGAGGAGGAGAAGAGGAAGGGAGGTTCCTTCGCCATTTCTGCTCAAGCCATTGAGAGAGGTTGTGAGGGGCGCGCCGCCCTATCAGCCAGCGCAAGCCGCGCCCTGCCAGCTGTGGCAAGTCGCGCTGCCATGAAGCCCATTCGTTTTGCGGAGCCCGCGATGCCTTCCTCCCACAGACAAGCTGGCAACGGCCAAACAATGGGCGATCTGGATCAACACAATAGACAGTTTCAGCAGCAGTATTTGTATCATCCGTACGTATGACGCTCCGATGTGTTATTCTGATCAACGCAATGGGCAGTTCCAGCAGCACTATCAGGATCGGAAGGGCACAGCTTGGCATCTCAATGTTTCACTTGATACTGCGTAGGCCTCACAGTGGAAAAGCCGATCGAAAAGGCGAAGGGGACAGGACCGGAGGACGCACATATCATACGAGCACAGCGGCAAACGATGCTGCCGAAAGACATGTTGTTCAATTGGCATGATGATCATCGACAGACTAAAAGATCGATATTGCCAGACACCGCTCCGAGCGTTACCGTGCTAAGTCACCTTCACCACATGCACGCCGTCTGAACGACAAAAGCGAAGCTTAACGGATTGCAATCTGAGCCCGAATCCTACGGAATCTATTGCGCAGCATTCTGCGAGCAGCTCCGAAACATGACTTCCCCTTGCGACGGATAGCAGAACATGCCTCTTTCAGATACACATGTTGAGGGTGCACGCGCGGCGGCTTCCAGGCAGAAGTTCGCGCATGAAAGGGAAAGGAACCGCCTGTGCGCCAACTCCTCAGGATCATCATGACCGACAAACGCCTTCCAATACCGACGCCCCGTCCGACAATTCTCAGACAGGGCAGACACTTCGACTTAGTGGCCTGAGCAATACGACGTGCAATGGAGTCGAAAGCACTCCAGGGGAGTTGGATCATGCGAAGTGCCGCTGGTCCGTTACCCCAAGTAGAGATACCTTATGTGCGAAGCCCACCAACATTGAAAAGTCGGCAGTGACAAATCGTATCTACCGTTGTTGATCATGCGGTCCGCCGAGACTTTCGAGTACCATACTGAAGAATACAACAGGTGGGTTT